CGGACGCTGCCGCAGACGAGTGGATCCGCAAGGGCAGCTTCATCCACAAGCCGGCGCACGGCTGGCTGCACCCCGACGCCAGGGTCCTGGGGCCCGGGGTCTCCTACATCGTTCGGGTGAGTGCGCCGGCCGGGACCGCTGGGGGCCATCCTCGGACCCTTCAGCCTGGGGACTGCGGCTCCCCTCCCCCACCGCTTCCTCTCGGACGCCCCGGACCCTGCGGGTCAGGTGTCTCCTCTCTATCCTTCCTTGTCTCCCCACCACTCCGGACCCCGGTCTCCAGCCCGAGCTCCGCTGGGAACCCCCAGTCAGGAGGCGCCGGGGTCGGGGTTCCCACGGCGTCACGTGTCGAGAGGCGGGGAGAGGGCGGCAGGTGGGTGGGGGACACGCATGCGCAGAGTAAGCATCCCCCCACCCTCGCCCCGTTCCGGCTGGGCAGGACAGTCTGGACTGTGGGGACTAGGTGGGGGCACCTGGCTACCCAGACCCCCATTAGAAACTTCTCCGACAGCAGAATAGGAACCTGCTGAGACCTTGGCCTGAGGTGGGGGGCGCGGGGAAGGGGTATCTGCAAAGGGGCGGCACCCAGCCAGACCTCCGGATTCGACGTGTGAGGCTGAGGGACCTCGAATGTGGGTAGAGGAATGGGTCTTTACCCCAGTTTTTTATTATGAACCTTTCAAACATACGGAAAAACTGGACGAACGGATCACCTGTGTACCTGCATCTATAACTTAAAATGTTAGGTCTCTAGGCGCAATTTATCTCTCCCTGGTGAACCACTAGTGCATGACCCTTGCTGTTACATGCTTCCATATAGTCTCCCGAGCTAGCTGTCCTCCTGCACACCCATAGTTCACCTTTGCTTGTACAAAAATTATCAGGTATCCCAGAGTGTCATTGACCATCGGGTGGAATTCACATCTCTGCTGGCTTTTTTGGTTCCAGCACCGTGGAAGTTGATGTATTTGCCTTTACCAAAGTCCCCCTCGGGTTGAATAGTGTCCTCCTCAAATTCATGTCCTCTGAACCTGCAAATGTGGCCTTATTTGGAAATAGGGACTTTGTAGATGTAATCAAGTTAAAATGAGGTCATTCTGGAGTGGGGTGGCTCTAATGCAGTGACAGTTGTCTTTATAAGAAGAGGGAAATTTGGACACTGACACACAGAGAAGATGGCTTGGCGTCAATGTGAGAAATGCCAGGGCTATCCCAGCTTTTGAAGAGTGCACATCAGTTGTCCTGCAGACTGTCCTTCAGGTTGTGTCTGTCTGGTGCTTGCTCACGCTTGGGTTCAGGTTCCGTTTGGGGCAGGAAGCACAGGGGCATGCTGTATCTCCTCAGTGCTTCAAATTGGGAGGCTGGGTGCCAGTGTGGCCCAATACCTATGCTGGAAACCGTGATCTCTTGGTGTACTGGGGAGAATGATGTCCCCCAAAATTCATGTCCACTAGAACCTCAGAACGTGAATTTATTTGGAAATAGGGTCTTTGCATATGTCATCAGGCTGAGATGGGGTCATAACTATATTAGGGACCGACCCTAAATCTCATATGACTGTGTCCTTATAAAAAGATGGAAACTTGGACACAGACATACAGGGAGAAGTCCATGTGAAGATGGAGGCAAACACTGGACTGATGTGTCTGCAAGTCAAGGATTGCTGGCCAGCACCACTGGAAGCTGGAGGAGACAAGGAATGGGCCCTCCATGGAGCCTTAGTTGGAGCACGGCCTGGCCAACATCTCGACTTTGGACATCTGGCTTCCAGAACTAGAGAGAATACATCCCTGTTGTTTTAAGCTGTCCAGTTTGTGGTGCTTTGTTACAGCGGCCCCAGGAAACTAACACGTTTATTAAGGTGACATTTCTCCTTGGTAAAGTTACCATTTGTTTCCTTTATAATTAATAAGTATCTGTGGGATGGACATTTTTTCTTGGTCAGACTTTAGAGGGACAAGCAAGTCTCAGGTGCATGGGGCCCGGACTGAGCTAGACAGCTGCCTGGTGCCCTCCTGGCTGGCACAACCCACAGCATTCCCATTATCCCAGCATCTATCGCCATAGTTTACTTTAAAAATTGAGGTAAAATTCACATAACAAATTTAATCATTAATCATCCTAAAGTGTACAATTTGGTGGCATTTAATACATTCATAGGGTTATGCAACCATTACCACTATCTAGTTCCAGAACATTCCATCACCCCAATAGGAAGCCCTGTCCCCATGAACAGTCACCCCCATCATCCCCCCTTCTAGCTCCTGGCAACCACAAGCCCACCCTGTCTCTCTGGATTTGCCTTTTCTGGACATTTCATACCAATGGGATCATGTGACAGATGCTGCCACGTGGTTCTCCAATTGTACCAGTTACCCTCCTGGTAACCCAGCCTAGAATTTGGAAGGATGGTTATGGCCATCTTTTGGTCCTCATGCCCCCACCCTTGGCAGCAGTAGAAGCTGCCTGGGAACTCTGCTGGCTGTTTCCACCTCCTCTGTCCCTCAGCATTGTTTCTTGGAGATTCTGAATTACCTTTCCATGGGAATGGTGGTCTAGGTAGGAGTCCACACGCTTTCCTGTAATGGATCACAGATAGTCAATACTTTGGGTGTCCCTCCTATCTGCTTGCAGACCCTGTGCAGGGCTCTGGGACACAGAAGTGGGCAAGGTGACCACCATCCTGGTCCTCCTGGGCTTGCGTTCTAGTGGAACAAAAAGAGAGATAAATGAGCTTGGAGGAATCAACCAGATTCTGTGGAACAACTTACGTAGAGTTAGGGAAGCCGTTTCTGAGGAGGTGATGCTGAGTCCGGAGATTGGGAGGAATCAGTCTGAAAACAGATGGGAGAGGGAACAGCAGGGAGACTGCAGGTGCAAACACCCTGAGGCTACTGGCTGGACATTGTCCAGGACAGAAGGAAGGATTCGAACCCATCGGGTGCAGGAGAGGAGGTAAAGAGCTCATCTGTCAGCCCCAGCTGGGCTCCTCTGCTGGTTCTATGAGCCCCACTGCTCACCCCGTTCTTTCTTCCCTTAGTACATGGGGTGCATCGAGGTCTTACGCTCCATGCGCTCCCTGGACTTCAACACTCGCACCCAGGTCACCAGGTGAGCCTTCCAGACTGGGCTGTGGAAGGGGGGATGGGCCCAGGAAGCTGATCTCATCAGCTCTGCCCTTAGCAGAGGTCATCCTCTCAATGCCTGTGGCCACACAGAAGTTGGGGTCTAAGTTCAGGGGTTGTGTTAGCCTCACTGAGTCTGATCCCATAGAGGGAAACAGCTGAGGAGGGTATCTGCTAGATGCCCAGGAGCACCCCCTTCCATGCCTCCATCCCTTCCTCTTCTCCCCAGGTACCCCATCATCCCTCCCTCTCTTGTCCCCTCCCTCCTTTGAGCCCCTCTCCATCTCAGGGTCCATTGAACCCCTTTTCTCAGCCCATTGTCCTCTGACCCCCCACCCTTCTCTGAGCTCCTGCCCCTCCCCAGACCCCTCTCTTCCGAGCTCTCTAAGCCCCCTCCCCATCCCTCCCCAGGGAGGCCATCAACCGGCTCCATGAGGCTGTGCCTGGAGTTCGGGGCTCCTGGAAGAAGAAGGTTGGTGAGGAGCTCGTGGCCCCTGAGTGGGGCTGGTGGGGATTCCATGGACACCCTTGGACCCTACCCAGCTGGAACCCCTCTTCTGCCCCACTCAGAGCCTGGGCCCCCCACCCTGCAGCCCTGTCCTGCCCTCTGCTCCCCACCAGGCCTCCCTACCCTGTGACTCTATGCTGCCTTTCCAAGCCCCCCACCCTATGGTCCTCTACTCCCTCAGGCCCCCCACCCTGTGGCCTTTTGTCCCCCCCCCAGGCCCCCAACAAGGCTCTGGCCTCCATCCTGGGCAAGAGCAACCTGCGCTTTGCCGGCATGAGCATCGCCGTAAGCATCTCTACCGATGGCCTCAACCTCTCTGTGCCTGCCACGCGCCAGGTGAGGGCCATACAACAGGTGAGGGCCATGTGGCCTGTCCTTGTCCGCTGAAGGGCAGGCTCTGTGAACTCATAGGAGGTGAAGCCTGGAGGGATGGTGGGTGCAGGGCTTCATGTGACATGTTCACCTGGAGATGAGCTGAGGCCCCACCCTGGAGCCAAGGAGGGATGCAGCCGCTGCCCTCACAGAGCCCCACAGTTGTCACCACTCGGGGTGCTCCTGGCATCTAGTGTGTATCTGTGTGTCTGATGTGTCTGTGAATCCCTGCCCTCCCAGTCCCCACCCTGTGGCCCTGGTCTAGTGCCTGCCCAAGCCTCAGGTCCCTGACCTTAGGACAGACTGTGACCACCTGTGTCTCTCTGGCAGATCATCGCCAATCATCACATGCAGTCCATTTCCTTTGCATCCGGTGGTGACACGGTAAGGGGCTGGGTGGGTGGATTTGGCCTCCTCTGTCCCCTGCATTGCTGGAGGTGGGCAGCCAGGAATCCTCGCCAGTGGGCCAGGCAGGTCCAGCTGGCCCCTCCCACACATCTCCTCTCTTCCCAGGACATGACGGATTATGTGGCCTATGTTGCCAAGGACCCCATCAATCAGAGAGGTGAGATCCAGTGGGTGGGGTGGGAGGGCCCTCTGTAGGCTGAGTCAGCTGCCAGGCCACACTGATGCTGTGTCATAAACGACCCCCCAGCCTGCCACATCCTGGAGTGCTGCGAGGGCCTCGCCCAGAGCGTCATCAGCACTGTGGGCCAAGCCTTCGAGCTGCGCTTCAAACAGTATCTGCACAGCCCCCCCAAGGTGGTCGTCCCCCCTGAAAGGTACCAGCCCCCACCTGCTCCTCTTGGGCTTGGGTTCACTCTGTCCCCCCTGACCCGTGCTCCCTGTGAGCTCATCACAGCTGCCAGGATCCCCATTCCCTTGGCTGTAAAACCCAGATAAAAACAGCCCCTACTCCCTGGGCTAAGGTAAGGATTCAGGAGCCGGTTAGTGCTGCCATGAATACGGTCATTAGTGTAGATAGGGGCAGTCAACGCTCCCGCAAAGGGCCAGACAGTCAGTATTTTCAGTGTCTTGGATGTTGTCTGTGTAAGTAGCTGTGGGGGGTACTAAAGCGATGGATGGGCCATGTGCCAGCAAAACTATTTATAGACACCAAAATCTGAATTTCATTAACTTTCACCATGTCACCAAATATTGTTCTTTGGATGTTTTCTTAACCATTTAAAAGTTTTATGGCTCCTGGGCTGACCCCTGCTCTTAGCTACTTAAATATCTATTAATTGTTAGCAATTCAAATAAGCACACAATAAGGAAGAAGAATTCACAGTGCAGCATGAGGCCCTTCTCTGGGGTGAGATGGCTTTTTGCCTTTCTTACGGGTTTGCACGTCTGTCACGCATGCGTGGTGGGTTTCACCTATTGCCGGGCGCCTGGAACTGCCTCTGCCTCCATGGGCTGCATGGTCCTGCTCTGCTGCCCCAACTGGAACCTGTGGTTTGTCCCCGACTGAGGGGCAGGCAGTGGTCTCCCCCATTTTGCTCTTAGGAACCACGCTTACCTGAACAAGCACTTGTGGGATATATTTCTACAGGTACCACCACCAGGCCAGATGGTGAGGGCGTTTGAAATGCTGAGGGTGTTCTACCCTAATGCACAGCAGGCATCCCAGTCCTGGGTGCAAGTCTGGGGTGTCCTGGCTGCTTGGCCAGGCTAGAAGCGGGTGGAAAGAAGTGGAGGCTACCTTTACTGAGGACCTGCTGTAGCTGTGCCAGGTCTTATTTTATAGATGAGGGAAGAAAAAGACAGCACCCAGCAAGCATTTCCTGGGTGAAAGCTCAGCTGATAGGAAGTGGGGTTAGAGTCCCTTTGGGCCTGGTTTTCTCCACCCACCCTTTAAAACTCAAGCCCCAAGGCCTTGGCGTTCCTCGGGTGCCCCTGTTCCTTCTGCCCTGTGTACTGGGGGCTCCTGCCTGCTGTCTGTCCTCAGGCTGACCGGGCTGGAGGAGTCGGCCTGGAGGGATGAGGAGGACTTGGAACACAATTACTACAACAGCATCCCAGGGAAGGAGCCGCCCCTGGGCGGGCTGGTGGACTCCAGGCTCACCTTGACACAGCCCTGTGCCCTCGAGGCCCTAGGAGCCCTCAGCCAGGTCAGCCCCAGTGGACTCATGGGGGAGGGATGGTGGCAGCTGTCCCCAGGCACTGACTCCTTGGGCCTAGCTTTTTCTTCTACTCCTATTCTCGATCCTAGAGTAAGGTCTCTCACGCCCCCTACCCTTTCCTCCTTACCCAGACTGCACAGATCTGCTCCAACCTGTTCTAGACACTTCAGATGTGATTCACACACTCAGACATTGAGTAAATAATTATATTAGTGATTTAATCTGGGCTATGAAAAGGTCTTACAAGGAAGGTGACAAGAATGTACAAAAGGGAGACTGACTTGTCTGTGGTCAGGAGGACTTCCCTGAGGAAGCAATGTTTGGGCTGGGCTCTGAGGGGTGAATAGGAGTTGCCCAGGGGAGCAGTGCAGGGAATAGCCTGGGGGAATAGCATGTGCTGGGTGGCAGCAGGGTGCAGACCACCTTCCGGAGTGGAGATGGTCTTATGAAGCTGTAGCAGAGGTGGGCGGTGGGTGCAAAGTTGGGCCTGGTGGGCACCTGGCAGTTTGAGAGCCAGGGCTTGGGGGAAGGGTTAGAGGGTGTGAGCTGAGCTTCCCATCTGACTTATGTCCCCAGTGATTTAGGCAGACTGGGTGGGAAAACTGGAAGAGGGGCTTGCATATTGCAGGAAGGACCCTCCCTTTCTTTTTCAGGGAGCATCTCCTCCTCGAAGAGACACCCGCGGCCTGCACTGGGAGCTGGGCCCCTCAGGTAGGGTAGGATGATCTTGGGCCATAGGGGATGCCCAGCACATGCTATTCCCTTCTTCCCTGCACTGCTCTGCAGGGAAACTCCCCCACTGGGTGCCTGAGTCCCCCTTCACAGATTCTCTCTGCACCAGTTGACTTTCACTTCCAAGACTGTATTCACTCCACAAGCTTTGATAAGATTCAACAGCATCAGGTTTCTTTTTCTTCACTGAGATTTCTGGCTTCTTTTGAAACTGGAAAGCTCTGGACCGCTTGGGCTACTTTCCTAAGCCTGGCAGATGGGGGCAGGTTGGCTGTCCCCTCTGGTGTCCCCCTACCCCTGGTTGGGCATTTTTGGGGTTTTTCACTCTTGATGATGCTGGTCAAATGGGGATGAGGCATCCTTGGAGTGAGATAGGTGTGGGTAGGGGTCCCTGGTTGGGTCCCACTCTGCCCCCCTCTGTACCCCAGGGCCTCAGTGTTCCCCTGGCTCCCCCAGCTGACCTCACTACCCCCTCACCCTTCCCAGCCCCGCCTGGGGATGGCTACGTGCAGGCAGATGCCCAGGGGCCCCGAGACTACGAGGACCACCTGTACGTCAACACGCAGGGTCTGGATGCCGCAGAGACTCTGCAGCCGGAGGACAGCCCCAAGAAGGACCTGTTCGACATGCGTATGTGGGGACAAGTCAGCCTGAGAGGAGGTCACCTGTGGTCTGTTGGGGGAGGCTGAGCCTCCTCCCTTGGGGACTTCTCCCCTTGGGACTTCCCAAGTTGATGTTGGTGGGGCGGGGAAGTCTATATCCTATGGGACTCCCTAGTCTAATAAGAGAGACTTAGCATCCCCCTCTGTGGGACTTCCCAGTCTCTTGGGGGTAATCCAGCTTCTTCTCTATGGAGGTCCCCAGTCTGACAGGAGAGGCCTAGTTCATACCTTGAAAGAGTTGCTAGTATGATGGGGGAGGCTCAGGCCTCTCTTCTTTTGGGGACTCCTCAGTCTGTTGGGGGAGGCCTAGCTCCCTACCCAGGCTCTCCCCAGTCTGAGGAGGGATTTGAGCTCCATCCTCATGTGACTCCATGGTCTGAGGAACGAGGCCCCAAAACCATACTTATGGGAATCCCAGCCTGATGGGGAAGACACTGTCTGCTCCCTGGGGGAGCCCTAGTCCGATGAGGGAGTCCTAATCCAGGTCCTGATAGCTAACAGTACAGCTCATTCCTTCCTTCCATCTGGGCCTGAGGGAGGGCTCAGTCTGATGGAGGAGGCTTGCGTCCAAAATGCCCTTCTTATTTCCCACATCAGTTCCATCCTCCTCCACAGCACTGTGGGAGGTGTTGGCCCTGTGCTGGCCAGGCAGGGTGGTGTCCCCCTCCCTCAGGACACCTCCCTCATTGGAGGTCCCTGAGAACCTCCCAAGCCAGCTGGAAATTTCTTTCTTCACAATGTTTGCAAAGCCTGGTTCCCTGCCACTGACAACTGGATACCTTATCATTGCAATAATGACATGTGCTAGGATCTGTTGAGCACCTACTGTGTGCCAGGCCCTGGACTAAGAGTGTGGCCCCACTGGCTCCTCACAACAATCCTCCAGTGGGAAAGGAGGTGCTAGATGTGAGCTCCTTGTGAGGCAGGCTGTCCCCTCTGGTGATCACAGGGCCCAGCAAACCCTGTGGAGAAAGAGTTGCTTCTTGCCAGGCTCCCATTAGCACACACAGCACACTCAGCACACACTCAGCATGCACACAGCACATACATGGCATACGCAACACACTCAGGACACACACATCACACACACACTGAGTACATAGCACACACACCAGCGCGCTCTTGGCCCGCACACAGCGTATAGCCAACAGCCCATTGTGGTGGGCTCAGTGCAGGTCTGGTGCACCCTAGATGCTCAGTCAATGCTACCCAGGCCCTGAGGGTGGGTCCTTCCTCCTGTCCGGACCCCTTCCTTCCCAGCAGGAGGCAGCTGCCCAGCCCTGCCTCCCGCACCCCATCCTTACCCACAGGACCCTTCGAGGACGCCCTGAAGCTGCACGAGTGCTCCGTGGGAGCGGGCGCGGCAGCCTCCCTTCCCTTGGAGGACCAGTGGCCCAGCCCCCCCACCCGCAGGGCCCCCATCGCCCCCACAGACGAGCAGCTGCGGCAGGAGCCTTGGTACCAC